GCCTATTGTCTCTTGTCCTGGCCCTGGGCATCACTAGAAAGAGCCTGGCTCCATCTGCTTTGCACCCTCCCTTCAAATACTTGCATATCGATGAGATCCCCCCCGAGCCTTCCCTTCTCCAGGCTGAACAGTCCCAATTCGCTCAGCCTTTCCTCTTAGGGGAGATGCTCCAGTCCCTTAATTGTCCTGGTGACCCTTTGCTGGACTTCCTCCAGTATGTCCATCTCCCTCTTGTACCGGGGAGCCCAGAGGTGGACACCGTAAATTGGTGACAAATACAGTGAGATAAGGAGATAATGTGTAGGAGCTGTAGGCAGAGTTTGGAGGAGCCTCAGGAGGTTACTGGTCTAGAGCTTTACCCTGGTAAGGTCGTTTATATGTCACATCTAACTGCTTCGCTACCTCCAGGGCCTTAAAAATCCCTTGGACAGCAGTGATCACCTGCCTGGTCGCTCTGTACCAATGCTTTGCAAGTCCTATCACTTGCCAGTTTTTCCCTGGTGTCCAATACCTCTCTTCTGTATTCATTTCCCTGTAAATACCTTGTCCTAGCTGTGTAGCACATTTTCCTCATGGCATAGACCAGGCCCCAGGGCATGGCTGTAACCCTAAAATTTCCTGCTTAGTGACCCTGGGGCACAGTTAGCCAGGACAGGATCTGCTGTAGTGAATGGCTTCCTGCAGTTCTTCAATCAGAACTCCTTATGCTTTCCATGAAGTACAGACAGCTAGTGTTTCTTTTTAATTTGTTTTTTTTATGATAAAAAGGCTAAAGGGCCACAGAAACAGTATTTAAAGAATGGTTGGTGTATTCAGTACTGCTCGAGCCAGGAGAGGAGTTCTTGCCATGGGAAGCTTAGAAATTAAGTAATGCCTGGTGGGCTGTTGCACTGTGCTCTGCTTCTGGAGGGTTGTCTGGGGCAGGCTTGGTGGGAAAAGTTGTTTTGAAACGACAAGGGAAGAAATTAATAGGGGGGAAAAAAAAGGTTAGTTGCTCTGAAGAGTCCAGTAGAAGGCACTTTTAGGAAAAATGGATAGATATTGTGGAGAAAAGTGTGGAGGATGTGGAACAGAGGACTGGATCAGATGAGAGGAAGGGGGGGAGTGAGGCTGTATGTTAAAGATGCTGGAGTTTGTAGGGCATTAATGTCAAATGTTAATGGTTGTGTAGCTCTGCTGTTTCACCAAAGGTAGCTGTCAGTGTCAATGTTGCTCCTCAGTGTGAACTGAAAAATAGTTGCGAGGGCTTTTCCAGCTGGTTCCTAAGACACAATGCGAACTCCCTGAACTGTTTCAGGTAAAGGAGGAGCATTTTTTTGTGTGTATTCCTCGCTTGGTTGGTGTTTTACTTACCAGAAAAGCTAAAAGAAAGCTTAAAAAGACACTGGGGGCACATTAATGCTCTCAATTTCTAGCTGTTAATAGATGGAGCTCCTCTTTGCCATCCAGAAGTTCAAGTAGAAGTTTGGGATCCCCAGTCACTCTAAAGCCTAAGAGGTCTTTCAGCATGTCTTTGAGAGAAGTTGTCTCCCATATAATTGAAGACCTAGATGTAAGCGATGTGGAAGAAGAGATGGCTAATACAGTGCACAAAGTGGAAGAGGAAGAGATTTTCAGAGAGGGTAAGGAGCGCTTTCAGTGTTGCAAGGGAGCAGAGTACTTTGGTCTGATTAAACCCAAGAGTTTTTCAGGTGACTTGCAGGGTAAAATAAGACTTTACTGTGCACTGGATGCTGGCGATAATTTAAGTCAAGTCGTATCAGACGCTGTGAGCATTTCCAGACAAGCTTTCTAAAAGCAGGCTGTGACTTGCTCCTGTGCTATCCTGTCAGTATTTGCCTTATTCGCAGTGACTGCAAATGGAATAAATTTCCCTGTTTTTTGTGAAGTTCGTTATACAGACAAGCTCATCTTCCCATATGAAGGCTGGATAGCTCCCTCTTGGCCAGGAATACGCCTGGCTAATCGTTCTTTTTGCTTGTATGCATTTTCATGCTGTACTATATTTAGTTAAGCCGTGTTGGCCATTATCTTTCTCCAGTACTAACCAGCATCCTTTCCCTTAAGACAAGGGTTTGAAGGCTGCCCTCCCTTAAATAATAAAGCTCATCACTGAAAGGTTGGGCCTTAATACCTCCTCCTTACCTTAATACCATGGAAGAGAGCAAGTCATGTGAGTTGCCTGCTTTTACGAGCACGTTCTCATTTTTTTTCCACTATCCTCTTGCCGTAGAATAAGACAGTAAAAACTCAGTGCAGGTGCTGAGATTGGCAGGCGCTACCCCACATAATTTGGGTATGTGTGGATGCAAATTTCCATGTTTTGTGGGATTTTTGTTTTCCAGACTATAGTTTAGGATCCATTTTAAGTCTTTCCCACTGTTCCTTCAACAGTGTCTGGAAATGAGAGAAGACCATGCGGGTGTAGCTTTCCCTAGGCTTAATCACATGTCTGAAGTTTCATATGAATCACCTTATGGCAGTATGGAACCTGAACAGTCGACAGCACCAGCGCTTTTGTTGTTAGAATTTTAAACTGAATCCTTGCAGTGCCCACGAGTATTTCCTTGCACATACCAAAATGTAGCAAAGCCTATCAGCAAAATTAGTTATATTGCCTTTCTATCATGATAATACAGCCTTTTGTTTGAAACAGTTCTTTTAGAATAGTTCCTTAAGGTAGCAGATATTCTGCACCTCTAAATTTACAGTTGCGTAAGGCTGGCATCCTGTGATCTTTCTTGATTCTTTTGTCCGGTTGTGGTTTTACTTGGGTGCACCTGTGGAGTGTGAGGTTTAATGAGATGTCACTCTCGAGACTGATGGCAGCCACTCCAGAATTGTCACAGTTCTGTGAACACCAGCTCAGAGCTTGGGGGATGGTCAGAAAAGCTAAGAACATTCCTGTGAAAGGAAGAGATGACAAAACGTCACTGCGCTGCTGCAGGAACGATTGTCATGCTCGCCTTTTGAATGCTGCGTGCAGTTCTAACTGCTCTGTCTCTGAATAGATTTAACAGAACTAGAGAAGGTGCAGAGAAAAACAGTTTTACCATTAATGCTAATCAAATCTATGGAGCAGTTTGTGTATGTTGAATGACTAAAGATAAGGACTGCTCAGCCTGGAAAAAAGACAATGGGTGTGAAGTATAAGAAGTTTAAAAAGAAAAGCCTTGAGCAGCATGGAGGAGATGATTCAGCACACAAATTAAAACGGCTCCCTGGTCTGTCAGTGCAGAAACTAGAGAGGAGCAACGGGCACTGGCAGCTGGTGGGTTATTCCGAACGCCGGGAGGTGTTGCTGCTGGCAATGGGCGACAAAATCTGTACAAATTAAAACTTGAATGTGTCGATAGCATCAGGGATTCCCTGGTAGCGTGAGAGATTCAGTGGTGCCTGTCTGCCTTAGGCAGTCTTAATGTAGAATGGAGTTTTTGGCTTCTCCCCCCAAAGCTAGTTAATGTTTCACTTAACTTCAGGTAAGGTTTTGCCCTGCATTGGTATAGGGAGCCCAATGTTCTGGTTAGTGACATTGGTATTACTGCTTTTTGCACCACCTTTGGCCAAATTTCCATGTCCCCTTCCCAGGGGCTTGGGGCTTCCAAGACCTTTACACTTGTGTGAAAACTCCCAGTGACTGGAGAGGATGGTAAAAATCCACTTTTACAGCTTCTGGGCTCAGCCGAGATTTCCAAACCCTTCAGCCGGTGACAGTATGATGAGGGCTCCCAGTAAGACTTCTCCAAATAATTGCCTATGTGGGTTCCTGAGCTACGTGGTAACAGACACGTGGACTGCAGGTTTAGTACATGGGGAAAAGGAGAACTTCAGATACTGAAGAGTACTTAAGTTTTTACAGGCAAGCAAGTCATGTGTCCGTTTATTTATCCCCATCCTGCCTGCTAGAGGCTTGCCTGGGATGGTTAAAACCACTGCTAGGCCCTCTCCTCTTTGTAGTGCAATGTAGCTCTTCCAAAATTGTTCAGAAAAACTGAGGAAATGGGGAGGAGAATCTGAGTGCAAACTCTGTGTTGTTAAAGGAAAAAAAAATCAGCCCTTCACACAATCGCCAAAAGCAAGAATTGATGTAGAGATGGCAGTTCTCCAGGATCTGCTTACCAATAAGTAAAATCCCTTTGCTGGGATCTGATGTGCACCCTAATTAGGTGGCTGTAGAGCAAGCAGAGGAAAAGCTGTGCGTTTTTCAGCTGTATCTGCTTCCCTTATTTATAGCTTATGGCTATTGCTGAGTTTACTTATCACAAGTGAATTTGGGCGGTTGTTAAACTGTGTGCTGGTGATTGATGGGGGGTTTTGTTTTATGATAGAATTCTCTATTTTAGCTGCAGAGCATCATGCAAGCAGTGGATATTCTGAATATTTGGAGGAGAAAGTGACCAAAAAAGTGGAATCGCCGATAACTATGGCACAGGAGGCCAGAGTCGAAACAGAAGTGGCCTCTTCAGAAGAAGAGGGAATGGAAGAAGGCAGTGTTGAACACCAAGGCCCTCCTGAAGCTGGTGAGGACACCCTCTAATACTGAAGACTATCTCTAATGCCAAAGATCTCTCAAGCTGCACTGTTGGTGTTAGTGCTGGGAGAGAGTTTTGTTAACTCTCTTTGCAGTCTGGAATCTGGGCTAAATGCCAGGAAAATGTCAAACTAATTTCGTCATGTTAAGCTGAAAGACTGTGTTCTGCTCAAATGGAAACCAAAATCGCATTGGCAATAGTGTGTAGAAATAGATAATTGCAGAAGGCATCTTTAATTAAAATTTACTAGTGGAAGTTCCAAAATCAAGCAAAGATTGATAAAATTTGGAGACCTTCCGAGTGTATTGGCAACTCAGGGTCTCCCAGGTTACTTTTCCTGAGTTGCAGGGTCTTCTGCGTTCAACGTGCTGTTCTAAGGCTTTGGTAGGACTTCTTTTGAGATAAAAGTTCTTACTAAAGGAAGTTCATTTAAAAGGAGCTCAGATAAAAATTTCACTCAGATCTCATGAGCTTCTCTACATTTTTTTCGTGTGACTTCTGTACGCCTAGATGTAGCAGAGGAAAAAGTTGAGGATGCATCAGTGCTTTAGCTTACCTAGCTTAGAGTATTGACACCCTAATCCTTGAAGATAGGAATACAATAGGTGGCACCAGTGCAGGAATGGAAAGCTGGGTTTCATTCTGATGAGTGCTCTGCAATTTTGGCTGTGATACTTGTTTCAGTGATGTATTTTTCCTGTTTTGGAAACCTAGAAAGTGAGATTGCCAAAGGTGTTGGAGCTGGAAGTCTGGGCAGGCGTTCTCATGCTTCTTCCTCCTCTGAAAAATCTGGGATGAAATCATTAAAGGAAGTTGTTGAACAAGCAGATGAACTAGAGGACCAGGCTATCAGGGTAGAATTGGATGGTATGGAAGAAGAGCCTGCTGAGGATGAAGCTGAAGAGCCTGCTGAGGATGAAGCTGAAGAGCCTGCTGAGGATGAAGCTGAAGAGCCTGAGAGTGAAGGTAAGAAAACTATTGCAGCAGTAGCAGAAGGTGGTTGGAGAATTTTTTCCCTGTTACCTCTCAATAGATTGAGGAATGCTGTAGGTTAGTAACATTATTAGATGTTTAGTCCATCAGATAGTGCAGGGGAAGCTGTTGGCTGCTGTTCCTAGGGCCAAGGTTGTTACTGGCTCATCAGGGGCTTCAGGGGCCTAGATCGTCTTGTACTTTTTGGGGTGAAGGAAGTGCACAAATAGACACAACTGGGTGCAAAATGGGTTTATACAGTGACATAGACATATCCTCCATTTTGTTCTTCTTTCCTTCCTGACTCCTAACTTAATTCTGAGTCTTAGCATTGAACTGCTGTTTCCACAGCCATTTATGTGACTCCAGACTCAAAACCTACTTTAGAACCCCCTATTTTGTACATGCAGTTACAAATTTCCTTTCCAGCTTACCAAAAGAGCAGGCTGGCTCTCCAGAAAGCTGAGAGGTCTGTTTCTAAACTGTTCTTCAGACACTGCATCAGTCTGCTCTGTTGCCCCAAGTGCTTATGCCTTTTGGAAGAACACACACATCAGACTGAGTTCTCTTCAGTCAAGGCCAAATTTTGAGGATGCCCAGAGTGTGTTTTAGTGGTGTCTTTTGGGACTGGTCTTAAAGTCTTTCAAAGTACAATATACCCTGAAATAAAGAACGGAACTAAGGACATCCTAAAAGAGTCCAGTTGCCAGGATTTGAGGCATTGTGGGGAAATGCAGCTGTAATGAGGATATCAGTGCCTGAATGTATTGGTGTAATGTGGAGGGCACAAGGATGACAGCCGAACTGGTACGCTTTTGCCCCAAGAAAGCTGTAGGTGTTCTTAGGGTGACTGCGATAGCGTGTCAATACACTTATCTTTAACACAGCTGTATGAAGAGATGGAAAGGTCTTAATGAAGAGATCTCTGCTGATATGGTGGGACAGTAAGAGTAGCATCTTACAGGTCTCATTGGACAAGAAAAGTAGGAAGAAAAGATGAAAAATATGCACTCTTGCCATAAAACTTACCTCGGAAACCTCAGCATAACTAGTCTTCCCCTGCATCCTGCTCCCTGTCCCTCCAGCACACAGAAATACTTTTTCAAAAGAAGTAAATGTGAAGAAGCACGGAGTTCACCCAGCCCTGCTTCCTCTGAGAGCCTCCTGACTGAGTTTAACCCTCGGTAGCACTCGAGGCCTCCCTCTAGTCATTGGGCTTGTCCGCTGTAATGGGGCAGGCATCCCAGCTCTCAGGAAGGGTTGTGAAGCTGACACCATTACCAGATCGCTGGATTCTTGGGCTGCACTCAGCTTGCAAGGGAAACTGGCAGGCAAGGAGCCCCTGTGACCACTCCTCTTCTAGATAGGAAGCTGCTCTGTATTTCAATTCTGTTAACGTTTTCTTTCCTGCTGTTGCTTGTTAAGAAGTGAGGAAGTTTGAGAGTGAAGTTAGAGGATGCTGATTAGGCTTGGAGGAAACTGATATGGGTAGTTCAGAGCAGAGAAGAGGTGAGGTACCGACTGTAACCTGAGCCTTAGCTGGAGAGAATTTATGAAAATCTGTGAATATGGAAGATGCTCACAGACTGACCCTTGTCACATGATTTTGTTGGTCTCCTCGTCCCTGTGTTCAGGAGAATTTGCCACTGATTTAGCAGGGTGGCAATGAGGTAGCTTGCAGATTTTGAAGTTCTCTCTGGGAAAAGAGGCTGCAGCTTCTTGGAGCCTCAGTCAACCTTGCCATTGGCCCCTGCAGCCTGGTGCCAAGTGTGTGTTCCTATACCCTGCCCCTCCAGCACGGGGGCTGATGGGCTGGACCAGGCAAGAGGGAAGCCACCGGCCCTGTGGCTGGAGGTGGGGTGGGTGGAATTGCTGCAGCTGGCAGTCGCGCTGGTTCAGGGTGCCGTGGAGCCACAGCCTGAGTGCGGCAGTGTGGCACCGGACCAGATGTGTGGAAAGCGGGCTGGGCTTCTGCCTGCTGCTGCAGCGGCACGGCTTGCTGCAGGAGCTCTGAAAATAGAGTTCAGTTCACAGAATCCCAGCATGGCAGGGGTTGGAAGGGACATCGGGAGATCACTCAGTCCAACCCCTTTGCTCAAGCAGGCTCACCCAGAGCAGGGTGCACAGGACATCATCCAGGAGGGCTTTGAATAGCTCCAGAGAAGGAAACTCCACAGCCTCCCTGGGCAGTCTGTGCCAGGGCTCGGTCACCCTCAAAGTAAAGAAGTTCTTCCTCATATTCAACTGAAACCTCTTATGT